GTCAGACACGACTGAGTGACTTTCACATATATATATATGTAAATCTGATGCAGTAATTTGACTTTCATATATCTTTTTAAATTTCTCTACATATACATATATATAATATCTCACATTTTCTCCAAAGTGACCATAACATCTGGTTTCCTTATTAAATAATAAGTTATGTGAAATTGCTGACATTTGTTCATTTTATATTTTCCAGAGAGGCATGAGTATAAAATTATACTTCAGCAGCTTTGGAGGTCACCCTTGAAAGCCCCTAAAATTCACTTATAAAATTATTTTTGAGATTTCTCAGAGAACACCTGATAATCACAAAGATTTATTTCTTTATAAAAGTGAAAAAATGGCTAGAAATAATTAGGTTTGTTTGGCAGTTTCATAGTCACTAATAAGTACAACACTGTTATATAAGAGCTGCATGGGAAGAACTGCAAAACCAAATAGAGACTCAGACTTCTTTAGCCTAATTTGCATAGATAAAATATTAATAAAAGAATTTCAGAAACTAGTTGCTTTGGAGGGAAGGCTCTGGAGATTCTTCGGTGCCTTCCATAATATGTTCTTATTCTCAGAGAGAGCATTGGTCAAACCATTATGAAAGCCAATTAAATAATTCTGTTCCCCTCTTCTGACGTCCTTGGTTGTTGTCATAAATTGACCACAGCCAATTAGTCTCTTCATCAAACAGCCCCCTGCTTCTTGCTGCCTGCCTGAAGGCTCCGCTGTAAGCTATGGGCTTGAACTGGTGTCTCCAACGGGGCGGTCGGCCCCAGAGCCTCGTATAAGGCCAGCACCAAGGACTCTTCAGAAAGCAGACTCTCAGGGACAGGCTTCCAAACCCACGTGGCTTAGACAGCTTCCCAACCTCTCAGATAGCAAAAGGGTTATTTTCAGCACGCGAGGGACCTCAGCAAATTTGAGGGACCTCTAAAAGAGAAGGTTTCACCTAAAAGTAAAGGAATTGCAGGTGAAATCTAGTGGAAAGAGTCTTCTGGGGTTGGTTTCCTAGCCTCACGGTAGAAGAGGTACTAAAACAAAATTCTAAAGTTCAACTTAAGATTCCTTAAGAAAACTTCCAGACAGAAGTAAATTTTGTGGCATTCGTGGCTGCTGAACACTGTAAGAACTTATATTTGCAAAGCAAGCACTAGAAGGCGTCTACAGTAAATCACCACTCTTGATACACCTCTGGAAATAATCAAGGCGAAGCTATGCTCCAATAAGATCTCACTTACAAAAAGCTGATGGGCTTGGACTTGGCAAACAGGCTTAGTTGGTCAATATCTGACCTAAACCATAGACATGAGGCAAAATGATGGACAGAAAGTACCTTCAATAATATATTGGCCCTGTCTAAGAAAAGGGACTTAGTTCATCCCACTGTTTAATACTGGTTAAAAATCCTAGATTTAGTCAAGTTACTGCTAACCTTTAGCTTTATGTCTCATAGAAATGCAAATAATTTTTGTCTGACGAAACAGATAACCCCAAAGATATTTTTTTTTAAGTCCACAATCTTACCCTAACACTTCTTTTTAAAATTGTGAATATATCCTCTGTTTTTTAAATGCTTTTCAAACTGGTCATTACATGTTACTGATATCCTTCATTAATTAATGAATTAAATAAAATGTATATACATACACATTTAAGCAATGAATATGTATATTAGTTTATAAATTGATATGCATATAAAGTTTATAAATATATAAATTTAAGAATGCAAATTCTTATACATAATCCATTTTATATTTGCCCAAAAGTTGTAATTTTACATTTTGAAACTGTACTTTCACAGACTATATGCTGATACAGTAAGTCCAGTTGAAAAATATAAAACATGGTTTCTTGTGATCTGACCATTTAGAACTTCAGGATGGTCATCTCTAAATTGGAGGTGGTAGACCAAGATTTCTAAAGTCCTTTCTAAACTTCATTTTAATATTATAAAACTGAGAAGTTTGAATACATTAAAGTTTAATATGTTGAGACAGAATATTATTGAAAGAAGGAAACTTTAACTTTCTGAAAAGAACTTGAACAGACTTGGAATATACTATCTTTTAACTGCACAATGAGAGGGATCCATTCAAAATGAAAAGGCACCATTTAGATGATCACTNGTTTAATATGTTGAGACAGAATATTATTGAAAGAAGGAACCTTTAACTTTCTGAAAAGAACTTGAACAGACTTGGAATATACTATCTTTTAACTGCACAATGAGAGGGATCCATTCAAAATGAAAAGGCACCATTTAGATGATCACTTAGGCAGGAGCAATTGCTCTTTAATTGAGCTATTTGTTCTTTAGATATATAACTTTTGACATACGCATAGAATGATACAAGATTTATATCTTTCCTAGGGTTTTTTTCTTGTCAAGACATGAAATAAGGTCATTCTTTATCAGAGTATATGCTACACTCAGACAGAAAGTCTCTCTGCCCTTTTCAGATTGAGAGCAAAGCTGCTATGGACCTGAAATGGAATTTTGATCTAGCTAGAAATTTTGACAAGTAGAAAATTGAGAATAATTTAAACTTTTCTAAAGCATAGCATTAAAATGGTCTGTGATGGGCCATACAAAGTTCTACATTCCAAGACTTAAAAATATATATATATTTATAAAAGAAGTGAAAAGCAAGATAATAATTAAAACAACATATATAAAAGGATAAAACCTACAATATTTATGATGCAGATGAATCATTTTGGGATTCCATCAATAATGGATTTGGTCTGTATTTATTTTACGGTGATTGAAATATTTCTGTATTAAAAATATAGGATATCGCAATATAGACCAGTTATGAGTTAACTGCAATCTTGAGAATGAGAATTTACCCATAGTTATCAGAGTAAACACAACAGAATTTTGGCCTCAGAATCGGGATTGTGGACTTATTATAACCGATGATTTATTTATTTGGTAATCATGTAGATGTAGCTCATGAAATGTGTATATACACAGATATATATGTATATACACACACAATGTATATACTTACATATACACACATACATATACCTGTGGCTGTTTGTGTGCACGTGTATATTTTAGGGCTGCACACTGATGAGATGACAAAACTCCAAAAGTGATTATATGTGAGTCACTCCAAGTGTCAAGGAACTATCTTGTTCATCAAAGAACGCGCCTTCGCCCTGAGCTTGTACCCTGCGCCGTGCACTGTGAGATGCCACATTCATCTCACTGAACTTCTCAAGAAGCTGCGGCTGACACGCCAAGCCCAGGAAGCACAGCCCCGCTAGGGGATGTGTGTCTAAGTTCCTTGGGTGTGGCCATCTCTGTCTGGCATTCCCTGGGAGGAACAGTGCCTTAATCAATCCCCATCAAGCACTGTGTTGGTGGTTTCTGAGGAGATGATCAAAAATCTCCCATGAATGCTTCTAACAAAGCTCCTCAAGGAGACTTGGTCTTCAGGGATTTCAGGAGCGAAGCTCTTTTTTTCTGCTGTTTGTGGAAGTGCTCTTTCCTCCTTCAACCATGTGATACAGAATCACCAATTTAAAGGAAGGGGCACAGGAGTGATAAAACAGCCCAACACTTGTTTCTTTGACTAGATACTCCAAGGAGTGAGTTCATAAAGCTGTGAGAACATTTCATAAGTTATGATGGGAATTTAAATTGGCCCTGGACATCCAACATGTTACCTCATTCTCAAAACTCTGTGATGAAAAAGTCATTGTTCTCAAAATTTTGTAAAGTTTTTATCAAGGGGATGGAATTCTCCACGTGTCCAGGTTTAAGAATGACGTAGAAAGGATTTAAATTGTGGTAGGTCTGCAAGAGTCTACACTTTGTCTGTTATAGCACGTGCTCCTCTCTCCTCGGCTGCCGCTTTTACTGGGGTCCCTGATGATGCATCACCTTTTCAGCAAACCTTCTAGACAACCACATCTACAAAAACCACCAAGTCATTCTTTACCACAGCACTCTTCTCATTTTCATGTTAGTAACTATCAGATATATTCTGGTTTATCTGAAAGAAGTTATAATAATAATTTTAAAAGAACTTTAATAATCATGTGTTTCCTTCATAATAATTGCTTGTTGCCTATTTCCCTTCACAAAATGATGGAATGATGGAGACCATGAATGGTGGACATATCTTGTTTACTGGTCTAAAGACTGTACCGGGCATACATTGAAAAACCTATTAATAACTGTCTTTAAAAAGAGAATCCAAAAATATTAAATCCTTTGCCAATAAAATTGTATACTGATTCTAAAGCACAGACTAGAGTTATTACCTTATATGTGGAGGAAAAACAAAGCTCATTTGCAACTTAAATACTTATGAAATCATGATTAATATCTGTCATGTTTCCTTAGAGTTTTTAACTTCTTCCCTCAAATAAAAGACCTAGGGATAGGGAATGAGCGTGTATTAGTGGTATCTCACAAAACAGTGGCAGATTTTATTTTCTTGACTCTAAAGTCACTATGGACAGTGACTGCAGTCATGAAATTAAAAGACTCTAGCTCCTTGGGAGAAAAGCTGTCACAAACTTAGATAGTATATTAAAAAGCAGAGACATCACTTTGCCAACAGAAGTCTGTATAGTCAAAGCTATGGTTTTTTCAGTAGTCAAACATGGATGTGAGAGTTGAACCATAAAGAGCACCGAAGAATTGATGCTTTTGAACTGTGATGTTGGAGAAAACTCTTGAGAGTCCCTTGGACTGCAAGGAGATCAAACCAGTCAATTCTAAAGGAAATCAATCCTGAATATTCACTGGAAGGACAGATGCTGAAGCTGAAGCTTCAATACTTTTACCACCTGATGCAAAGAGCCCACTCACTGGAAAAGACCCTGATTCTGGGAAAGACTGAGGGCAGGAGAAGAGGGGACAGCAGAGGATGAGACGGTTGGATGGCATCACTGAGTCAATGGACAGAAGTTTGAGCAAACTCCAGGAGATAATGGAGGACAGGCTGCACTGCACGGGGTCATGAAGAGTTGGACACAACTTAGCGACTGAACAACACAACAACACATTTACATCAGTTCCAGTTGTGAGAACCAGTAGGGACAATTAATGTTTGGATGAATCAGTTTATCAACACTGCATGACATGTATTTCATATTATTAGTGACCCTTTTATACCCAAAGGCTGTGTCTCATCTATTTAAAAGCTTTCTGCACCTACAAACATTTCTTTATTCATAAAATCAATTTCTATAAACAAGATCTTTGCTTTCAAGAAAAGCTTCCTCTGAAAAAAGTGATTATATGGATAATCGCTTACCTCTATTGCCAAATTCCAGCAAAATACATAATTTATCCCTCTTGTTTTCACAGATGTAACTTCTATGGACATGGCCTGCCATCGATACCCTCTTGTAGCCTTTCCTTTAGGTCTTTAATAAGGGAAAATCATAATTAGATATCAAATAAATTCTCAAGTTACATGTAATTCCTATTTATTGTGGCTTGCATATGTGGCCAACAGATTCTGAAAAACTCATGTTAGCACTGTAATCACTTTTCAGGACAAATTGAGAAGGATGTCTTGTCATTTCTTTACATTGGTTTCAATAAACACAAGGAGATCAAACCAGTCAATCCTAAAGGAAATCAATCTTGAATATTCATGGGAAGGACTGATGCTGAAGCTGAAGCTCCAGTACTTTGGCCACCTGATACGAAGAGCCAACTCATTAGAAAAGACCCTGATGCTGGGAAAGATAGAAGGCAGGAGGAGAAGGGGATGACAGAGGATGAGATAGTTGGATGGCATCACCAACTCAATGGACATAAGTTTGAGCAAGCTCCGGGAGATGGTGAAGGACAGGAAAGCCTGGCGTGCTGCAGTCCATGGGGCCGCAAAGAGTCGGACACGACTGAGTGACCGAACAACCACAAACACAAAGTGCTTCCCACTGGAAGTCAGCCCCCAGGTGCATTTTCTGTGGCTTTTACTAGGAGACATCTTTCCTTACTCAAAACACAGGTGCTCAGAAAACCAAAACAAAAGTAAACTGAGCTGATGCGTCTTCTCTCTCTTTACACTGGTTTCTTGTAGGTGGTTTAATATGTAAAAGCTATTTTTTATTTCTTTCTTAAATGTCTTACTAAGCACCATTTCCATACCGAATATACTATATTCTTTAGAAAAAAATTCACATTTCTGTGGGCAAAATTGGTATAACCAGATTTGCTATCTGCCGAAGCTCTTTAAATAAAAACACGTATTCAAAATCAATCTTTTAGAAATCTCTACCTTACTTACTTAGTAAACGTAGACAATATTGACATTCACCTGGATCTCCTAGGCAGGGAGACTTCTCAAGGACTATCATTATTCTCAGCGATAACATTACCAGGTAGTCACTACTTTCACACTAACAAATTAGTTTCCTCTTTGGCATTTTATTCTTCAACTTAAGCTCCACTGGTTTGCCAGCAATTCAAGATTTTGGTTGAGCGCTGTCTTTAATTTGTTCAAGCCAGTGGACTCAGTTTTAGAACTTAAATTCAGGAAGAAGTTTCAGGTTCTAAGAAAAGTATCAAATTCCCACTAAGATCTGTATTCTCAAGATTTTTCCCCCATCATCACTGAATTCAAAGAGTCTTTAGGCCGAAAATGTAATGAAGTTATTTAAAAATCATTGATGATAAGACATGCATGAGTATGACATAAAACTGAAGATCAAGGATGCAAATCCTATGCTGGGCAAGAATTTTCAAACTAAGTATTAATTGGAAGAATTGAGTCAGCATTCTGAACTTGGAATATAGAAAATGTTTTTAAAAGAGAGAGGGAGATGTTTTATTACGGAAAGTTCACAGAGCTATCCAGAATTTTGCTATACCGACTAAAAATAAACTTTCAAAATGACTTTTGCATCACAAAATATTGAAAGGTTATTACTAACCCCAATCTGATTTCCCTAATTTCCACTAGAAGCAAGGCATTATCTTCGAAAAGATTTTCCCTACTTAAGAAATACTACACAGCAATATTAGCATGCTATTTTTATATACTTATATTCATTTGCATTTAATGATGTTGAAGTTATTTAATATACACATTTGTAATTTTTGTTACATATTGAAAAATATGGGTAGCATATTTATAGAGTAAATATTCAGTCAGAATGTTAAAAATATACAAAGTATGGAAAATAAAAGAAGACTTAATTTTTCCCTCCGTCGTATACTCTGTCCCTCTTCCTTCTACAAAATAGAGTTTTATGACTGTTTTCAAACATTCGGTATGTAAGTAATTTGATATCTCACTTAAGGTACTGCAATATAGAAAGTACAACGTACTTAATTTTTGAACCACTAAAAGTATTTTTAAAACCTATTTTAAAAACCATTTTCACTGAAGTCACTTTTTCACTATTGATGAATTGCCTTGTCTTAGTTTGATATTTTATTTCCTGAAATAAATTAAATGACACTGTTTACTTTAAAATTTTCTATGAATTGACCATTAATAAAACTCAACATTTTATGGATTTATAAATATGTCTACTTATTACATTTTGGTATAAGATTCCTAAATTTGATCTAATTTCTAAGATAATCATCTAACCCGACAATTTGAAAAGGCTTTAAAGTTTTCAAGGAGTTTTTAATGCATAAAATTGGTACAAAGCCCTAAAAAAGCAACTTCAATTGATTCATAAAATACTTAAACAGAATGTCCACTTTTCTCTGTACAATCATCTTCATTTTAGGTTTCTAATAACAAACTACTCCCTTACCACACATAACCAGATTTATTGTCGAACAAGAGAGGGAATCCTAGATTTTTTTTTTTTTTTTAATGTCTCTGTGTGTAACCTGCTAATTGGAGTATTGAGTATAGTAAGGTCAAGAGAAAGCTAACTAGAATTTTCTTCAATGGCTTTTCCCTGAGAGGTACAGAATGGTTCCACAGCTTTCTGGTAATCCACATTTAAGATAAGAGTATTTGAAACTGGAAATAAACCAAGCATAACAAAGACTCCTACACTGCACCACCGCAACGATTAGAAAGGACCATCTTTGAGCTTTGAAAACAGAGAGCAGACAGTAAGCAGGCAGCCTGCAGCCCTGAGCAGAAGCTCTTTCCCATGAAAACTCTTGCAAACCCAGCTTCTCTGGCAAACCCACAGGCTAGAGGAGGGAGCCACAGCCACTCCAAAGTGGAGTTTCAGGCCCATCATTAGGGCTTTCTGTCACCGTCTTGGCGCTGTTCCTCCAGGAATGAAATATGCAGATGGCATCTTTCAGTGGGGCTCCTTCAGTGAGGAGGAAGAAGGTCAGAAGACACAGTTAACACAGCCAGCACATTAGAAATCTGTGACCGATGTACTTACACCTCCAAATGCCTCCAGATCTCAGCCTCTGGAAATATCTAGCCCATTTCTTTATGGCACTGTTGCTTGCATCAGCTGTGGAAATTGACATAAAATAACAGAGTGAGCCAACAAGTGCTGGACAGCGTTTCAGAGCATCAGATTCAGGGAACGCTAAAGGCACATTGACGGAGTCCAAAATCTGGATGATAAATAGCAAGTAAATACCTTCCGATCCACCAGCAGGACTGCCGCCGCCTGCTCGCTTGTGTAACCGCGGAGGCGGCTCAGCCCCTCTGACGGGCGGCGAAGTGCGCGGCCTGTGGGCGTCTGGGCGGTCCTAGCGCCTGGCCCAGGTTAGCACCCGAGGTAACTCAGAGGAGCCTCCCTGCTCCTTGGGATTCTTCCAGCGGCTGTCACCAAGGGTTTTTCAGGGACGTCAGCTCGTTAAGCATTAGGGCACTGGGGGTTTGGGTTTGGGAAAACTGATCAGTACACAGGATCGTTCCTGTTTCCAGATACTGCTGATGAAACCAGGGTGGGGAATAAAAATAGTACAGACGATCTTGTCTGTTAAATAAAATGTGCTGTTGAAAATGTTAGAGTCAGAGGGCTTTAAGAAAGAAAATAAATACCCAAGTATACTATTTTGAGGGCCACTCTTGTCTTTCACTCCCCACACCTCCCTCCGCCCAGCCTTGCCAATATTTAAAATGTGAAGGGGAATAGAGGATTTTTTGAAGCTTGATAAATATTTTCTTTTCTTACCATTTGCAAAAAGTATTTGTTACAGGCCTAAAAACTCCATGGGCTTCCCTAATAGCTCAGTTGGTACAGAATCCACCAGCAATGCAGGAGACCCTGGTTCCATTCCTGGGTCGGGAAGATCCCCTGGAGAAAGGATAGGCTGCCCACTCCAGTATTCTTGGGCTTACCTGGTGGCTCAGCTGGTAAAGAATCCGCCTACAATGCAGGAAACCTGGGTTGGATCCCTGGGTTGGGAAGATCCCCTAGAGAAGGGAAAGGCTACCCACTCCAGTATTCTGGCCTGGAGAATTCCATGGACTGTATAGCCCTTGGGATTACAAAGAATCAGACACGATTGAGCGACTTGCACTTTCACTTAAAAACTCCATGTTTGGTGTATTCTGTTTAAAAGTGTCAAAATAAATGCTAAGCAAATGGAACAGAGACCTCTAGAAGCCTATTTTCTAAGAGACACGAAACGCACAAAATTCCCAATAAACACCACCCTTCATCTTTCTCTATTCATCTGCCCCACTTTTTTCCCTCTGTAGCACCTTTTCCCATGTGACATTCTTTTTTTTGTTGTTTTAAATTTAGCTATTGTCTAAGACCCCACCCGCACCCTGGCCACTGCAACATAAGCTCTATGAGGGAATCTGTTCTATTTACTTTGATACAGTAATTCTTTGAGAGCCTGGAAGATTACTCAGCACATAGAGTGTGTTAGTTGCTCAGTCGTGCCCTACTCTCTGCGACCCCATGGACTGCAGCCCACCAGGCTCCTCTGTCCATGGCATTTTCCAAGCAAGGCTACTGGAGTGGCTTGCCATTTCCTCCTCCGGGGGATATTCCTGACACAGGGATCGAACCTGGGTCTCCTGCACAGCAGGTAAGATTCTTCACCGACCAAGCTACCAGGGAAGCCCAATCCTCCGTAAATAAATACTTGTGGAAGAATGAACTAGACACCAAGAAATTACACTCAAATAAACAAGTACAGAAGTTAATCTCTTAACTGATTAAATTCAATTGGTAAATCTCTCTGAGCAGCTGTTTTATTTAAGGAGTTGAGTTTATATTTGCCTTCAAGAAGCTTATAATTTAAATGTAGAGAAGAGATATTAATCTATGTATGCAATCAATTATGTGCATATACTTGCCATAATGGAGTAAACAGTATAAGTCCAGATGTGCTATTCTTGCTAGAGGCTTCTGTTTTGACATTATGAATACGGTCTTCAGCCAGGGAATTGGGTTTGAGAATTCAACACTGATTTCTCCCCTCAAGTATAAAGTTAGAGTTTGGCAGGCAGTAGGCAGATTGGTTCGGTAGGGATCAGAATCTGGAAAGTGAACTCCAGTAAGATTTGTTAAAAGAATAAATACAGGTACTAACACAGGTTACAAAAAGTTGGACACGACTGAGCGACTAAGCACAGCCCAGCAACATAGATGACAAGAAGGAGGACAGGTAAGTGGATGCTGCAGGCCCTGCATCAAAGCCACAGGGAGTCAGCAGGATGGTCCAGCATCCGTCAGGGGGTGGCTGACTTTTAGAGCGGCGGGGAGGGCCCCTCACACCTCGTGGTCAGGAGGTCAGACCATTCGGTAAGAAATGGCAGCCAGTAGCAAGCATTTCGGGCCCGTGACAAGGTTTGCTGGTAAGGCTGAGGCTCAGAATTCCAGAGGCCAAGACAGGAGAGAGAGAAGATGGAAGGTCAAAGTCATACTTTCCCATGGAGCAGTCAAGGCGGGGGTTTCTCATAGGAAAAGTCCACACCCAAAACGCTGAGGGCCAGACTGACCCCCCAGCAAGGGGCACTGGTGCTTTTTAAGACCTCAGGGTCTGGAGGTCAATCAGTCAGACTGATCTCAAGTCACACGCAGGTCAAGCAGCTGAGACTGTGTGGGGGTGAACTGCCCGAAGAGAGAGGGAGGCAATCATTAGAGTCAAGTGAAGCCAGAGTCATTTTGCCCCAAGGAAAGATAGATTGCTCTTTGAGCCCACAGATTAAGATTCACTTCTCCATGGTTGTTCTCTCCACTTCTCAGTTCAGCATGTTTCTGAACTGAGACTCTGTTTTAAAGAAGTTGACTAGCAGTAGAAGGGCTAATGTACCCTCCAGAGATGCTGGTGAGGACACAAGGTGTGTGGCCAGGACCGCAGCAGGAAACGGCTGGCTGTGGCTGGTACAAGAGGGAGGCAATACCCCTCCATCAAGCATCTCTTTGTAGCCACTGATTTCTGTGTGTTGGGAAGCATCCTGGGAAATGATGCGCTGTGTCCATGGTTGGGCCTCAGAAAAACACTGACATGTCGTCTCTGTATGATACAAGTGGAGGAAAGAAGAGTCGGACTGTTGTCACTATATACATAGAAATTTATAAAGATTAAAGACTCAATCAACATAAAATAAAAAAATCTTCATCTAGCTAATATAGGGAAAAACAGAGAATATATATTCTTTTGATAAAAATATGGAACATATATCAAAATTGATCATGCACTAGGTCATAAAACAAGTTGCAAAAACTTCTAAAGAATTGATATCACATAGACCATGTTCTCTGAGCAGAGTGCAACTGCATACATCAGTGATGAAATGATAAATCAAACTTTCCTATACAGTTGACAAATAAAACCACACATCTGAATAATTCACGAGTCAAAGACAAAATGAATACATGAAGTTAAAAATCATTAGAAATAAAAATACTACATGCAGGAGGCTATAAAAACATGCTTAAAAATACATTTAGTCTTCAGTTCTTATATTAACAAATAAAAAGTCAGACAATTAAGGAAGGAGATAAGATGTTATTAATAGAGAATAAATCAATGCCAAAGAAAACAAATCTATACCACAGAAATATAAAACATAAAGAACCAAGAAAGTCAACAGTATTTTTTAGAAAGTTAAAGAGGTAGATATTTGGTTAGAATGGTTAAATATAAAAGAAAAAAGGCAAAACACCCATTTAAGAGCACTTTAGAAAATAGGTTTTTAGTTTCTTAAAAATTTTAACACACATTTGTCATATAACCCATCCAATCCACTCCTAGGTAGTTTTCCCAAGAAAAATGAAAACTATACAAAGATTTGGACATGAGTTTTCATATCTTTAGTTGCAATAACTGAAAATGGAAAACAAGATATTTTGTATCAATCAAGAAATAAATTGTCATATATTTGCCTAGTGGGATAAAACTCAGCAGTAAAAAAGGAGTTAACTTATTGATATATGCAACAACATAGATGAATCTCAAAATCCTTACGCTAAATGTAAACAGTCAGACAAGGAAGGGTACATATTTTATTATTTCATTTATATATAAAATACGAGAAGATGCAAATTATCTATAGTCACAGAAATGAAACCAGAGTCTGCATGCGGGCAAGGGGCAAAAAGAGATTGTTGGGAACAATGGATGATGAATATGTTTATTATCTCGACTATGGTGATGGTTTTATAGAGTTTACAGAAGTCAAAATTCCCTGTTAGGCAGAGTCCTCAAGAGGCAGATCCCATGAAAGGATCAGATTATAAGAGAGCATTTGGGGGGGAAAACCTGGGAGGAAAGAGGTGAAGGAGATGAAGGAGCCTGGGAGAGCCACGACACCACCGTACCGTTTGTGGGAAACAGGATGAAAAAGAGGAAGGTCTTGAACAGGAGTATAGTTCCGAGAAATGCTGGCCCAGTTGACATGGATTTCTCTGGGCCATCAGTGGAGTCCTGCATCGCAAAGGCAAGGGTCTTAGTTCCCTGGGGCACTTGGTCGCTGGGTGGGAGCCGCCTGTGGGAAGCATCACGTTGGCCCGAACGCAGTGATGGCTTTCAGAGCACAGAAGTCAGCGCTGGCAGCCACGTACTCTCCTACAGTAGAAGATCTGAGAACATTCCCATGGCTATCCCCTCATCAGAGTAGACAGTTTTAAAATGTGCTGTTGACTATATGTCAATTATGCCTCAATAAAACTATCAAAATGAGGAACCCAATAGTGGACAAAGCAGAAGGTGAACATAATGAGAGGACGCTAAGGACAACTTTACGGCCAGACTTAGAAACTTGGAAATGGACAGGTTCCTATAGAATGTAATTTACCAAAACTGATTCTTAAAAAAACAGAAAATCAAATTAATTCCAGTATTATGAAAGACATTAAAACAATTGCTCTAAAATTCAGTAATCCTACTGATGGGATGATACCTGAGACATATATACAAGAACGGTCATGGCAGCAAGGTTTGAGTAATACAAACCTGAAAACTTTAGAGTCATGAGAAGATTAGGTAAACCAGTTGTGCTCTATTTACACAAATAATAATACACAGAATAACAAATGTATAATCTTATACGCAACCAAATTTTGAAACATATGTTCAACTAAAAGCACAAATCCCAGAAGAATAAACATGATACTGTAATAGAGACTTTAAAATAGAACTAAACAATATGTTGTGATAAGCTATACATTTTAAAAAGCCAAGAATTCACACTTAGCCTAGTGATCATTTCTGAGGTGAAGTGGTGAAGTGGTATGTGCAATTTATTAGTAATGATCTAAT